AGGCACCACTTGAGCCACAGGCACCACTTGAGCCACAGGCACCACTTGAGCCACAGGCACCACTTGAGCCACAGGCACCGAGCCTATAAATATTTTAGTAGAAGAAATGCAAATAGATGTAAATACTGTTATGAAACACTCCCAATGCAAAATCAGAAACTCATCCAAAAGTAATGTCAATTTCAATGAAAAAGTGAAAATTAGAAGAAGCAGATAAAGTATTTCCATCATTAAAAAAGAAAATGAGCTGCCCAAAGCTCAGCAGTTACAGCTCCAGCCACATACACTGGAGGCGGTGGGTTTGAACCCGGCCTGGGACAGTTAAGCAACAATGACAACTACAATAAAACAAACAAAAAAATAGCCAGGTGTTGTGGTGGGTACCTCCCAGCTACTTGGGAGGCTGAGGCAAGAGAATGACTTAAGCCCAAGAGTTTGAGGTTGCTGTGAGCTGTGATGCCATAGTTTTCTACCCAGGGCAACATAGTGAGACTCTGTCTCAAAAGAAAAAGAAAATGAGCTTATATGAGCCCTGCCTAGAGATGCTTTTGGATACACCCTTACCAATTCAACCAACATCAACATAAAATAAAAAGCTTTTTTTTTTTTTTTTTGAGACAGTCTCACTCTTATCACCCCCTGGGTAGAGTGCACCAGCATCATAGCTCACAGCAACCTCAAACTCCTGGGCTCATAGCTCACAGCAACCTCAAACTCCTGGGCTCAAGTGATTCTCTTGCCTCAGCCTCCTGACAAGCTGAGACTATAGGTGCTCACCACCATGCATGGCTAGTTTTTTCTATTTTTAGTAGAGATAGGTTCTTGCTCTTGCTCAGGCTGGTCTCAAATTCCTGAGCTCAGGCAATCCACCTGCTTCAGCCTCTCAGAGTGTTAGGATTACAGGCGTAAGCCAACACACCTGGCCAAAAACCTTTTTTCTAAGTCTGGAATATTAGTCACAAAATAAAGATCAGTACTGCCAGAAAAGGCAACTTGTACTTTGTGTATTTGAAATTCTATTTTAGGCTTGGCTTCCCATAGTACAATGGTTACCATACCAGCCACATGCAACAAGGCTGGCGGTTCAAGCCTGGCCGGGGCCAGCTAACCAACAATAACAACTGCAGCAAAAAAATAGCTGGGCATTGTGGCAGGCACCTGTAGTCCCAGTTACTTGGGAGGCTGAGGCAAGAGAATCGCTTAAGCCCAAGAGTTTGAGGTTGCTGTGAGCTGTGATGCCACAGCACTCTACTGAGGGTGACATAGTGAGACTCTGTCTCAAAATAATAATAATAGAATATATAATCATATCACATTTGGTTCATAATAACACACCATATATTTATTTCATATATAAATACAAAACTTCTGAAAACTTCAGTGTAATCCTATCATAAGAAAGGTATACGGAGGTGGCTTCTGTGGTTCAGTGAGTAGGGTGCCGGCCCCATATACCAAGGGTGGCGGGTTCAAACCCAGCCCCGGCCAAACTACAACAAAAAAAAGCCAGGCGTTGTGGCAGGCACTAGTAGTCCCAGCTACTCAGGGGGCTGAGGCAAAAGAACCACCTAAGCCCAAGAGTTTGAGGTTGCTGTGAGCTGTGATGCCACAGCACTCTACCGAGGGTAACAAAGTGAAGACTCTGTCTCTAAAGAAAAAAAAAGAAAAGAAACGTATATGCTGTTGATTATGGTCACTACTAATATTTAAGAACATGTAAACAAAAAGTCTTAATAAAATACAAAAGGCTGGACATGGTCCTTCACACCTATAATCCTAGCACTCTGGAAGGCTGGGGCCAGGGATTCCTTTGAGCTTAGGAGTACAACATCCTCATGAGAAAGAGCAAGACCCCATCTCTACTAAAAATAGGAAAAAGTAGTTGTGCATTGTGGTGGGTACCTGTACTCCCAGCTACTCAGGAGGATGAGACAGGAAGACTGCTTGAACCCAGAAGCGTAAGGCTGCTGTGAGCTAGGATGATGCCACAGCACTCTAGCCTAGGCCACAGAGAGAGACTCTGTCTTAAAAAAAAAAAAATACAGAGTAAGTTATAATTAGGAATCATTAGGAATTTCAGTTCATTGTCCTGAATTCCAAAGATTACTATCTTTCAGGAATTTGGGAACAGCAGCTGACCACAAACCAGTGACAGAAACAAATGCAAATCCCCTCTGGAGTCAGGTGCCTTCATTTCATCATCTCAGGTCTGAGAATTTTCCAAATACTATGACCAGCACATGGTAAAAAATACCCCAGACACACAAGAGTCTAGAGAACATGTACCAGACCCATGTGACATTAGAAACAGTCCCACTAAGACTATCTTAGAATCATACACAGACAATAAAACAACTATGCTTGCTATGTGTAAAGAAAATAGAATACAAGTTGAAAGATACTTTCAGGATACAGGAAACTATAGAAGGTTAACATACCTCACACAAAGAAAGTAGAACCTCTAAAATATGAATCCTCATGACATAATTACAGGGTCTTAAACAGGAGCAACAGCTACAAAGAAGAACTTCATTGTGGGTCTTGCACAGCACTGGACTGTTTTGCTACATTAACTGCGACAAGGCGGGTAGCATCTCTGTGCTGGCAGGCCCCACCTTCCCAAGAATCCAAGCTTAAAGGGTGAGGGAGGAGATATCAGAAAGTTCTAAGAGCTGGAGCAGGCAATTCAATCCAATTTCATCCAGGTAAACTAAATTCCATTGACCAGGTAGTTAGCAAATCCCTGTTATGTAGATTACCACCCCAGGTAAGTGGGAAATTACACCCTGACTAAGGACGTTATCTATCTTCTCAGCAGGCAAATAAACAAGTAAATATAATATTGATCAGAATTAGGTAAATGCTGTATTGGAAGTTCTTTAAATCTCAGACCTTACAGATTATGCAGAACTAGAGTAAAGTTTAGTAATCAAACTGATGAACTTCTATGTCTTCTGAGGGACTGCTTTTATTGTTAGATATACCTTTTATGAAGACAGAAAAAGATAACCTTGAGAAGAATTGCTCATGACTGTAAGGAATAAATAATTTCATCATATTAGCAATAGAAATAAACAATATGTCTACTGAAAAATCAATCAATTTACCACTAACATACCTAAAGCTGTATTTGGTGGATTCAGCTTTTATTTCCTGATTAAGACTCTGCATACATCCTGTTAGGTCTTTCACAGTATTAAACATTTAGCAATTAAAAAATAATGATATAAGGGCAGTGCCTATGGCTCAGTGGGTAGGGCACTGGCCCCATATACCAAAGGTGGCGGGTTCAAACCCGATCCAGGCCAAACTGTAACAAAAAATAGCCAGGTGTTGTGGTGGGCGCCTGTAGTCCTGGGAGGCTGAGGCAAGAGAATTGCCTAAGCCCAGGAGTTGGAGGTTGCTGTGAACTGTTGGGGGAGTTGGAGGAGTTGGAGGTTGCCATGGCACTCTACCGAGGGCAATAAAGTGAGACTCTGTCTCTACAAAATAAATAAGTAAGTAAATAAAATTAAAAAAATAAGAAGAAGAACACAGGTTGAATTATTAAACTAGTCTTTAAAAAGGAGGTCAGATGAATTAATAAAAAACAGCCATCTCATCACATAGTCCACTATTCCATTTATCCATTTACAAACATCGCACGTCTGGGCGGCGCCTGTGGCTCAAAAGGGTAGGGTGCCGGGCCCATATGCAGGAGGTGGCAGGTTCAAACCTAGCCCCGGCCAAAAAAAAAAAAAAATTAAAAAAACAAAACAAAACATTGCACGTCTTAAGTACATTACTATGGAAGACTGTTAAATATAAAAAGTAGCATTATTGGGAATATTGGGAAATTCCTGCCACCTGGAATTTAGGAGACTTTAGCTCTCTCATCTATATCTCTAATAGAAGAATAGTTTACAGATATATCTTGAAAGTTGTAGGTACGGGAAATGATGGAGAATGCTGGAATTGCTTTGGCTGTGGGGATGTAACACCCAGACAGCACAGGGTCCCTCAGGATTCCTTTTCAGGTGCTCTGAAATCAAGTTGTCTGGTATTTTCCCATGGGCTCAGATATTCACACTCAATGAATATCTTTTTTGTCTAAGCATCCACCTTTGTGCGGTAGCTTGAGAGTAAATGTTGTTGCTGCTCTATTCAGCACAGTGACCGGGGGCCCAGCTACCTAACTGTCCCCCGTTCAATCACACTAAATTTGCTGTAGGATCTTCCTGCCACCACATATCTGAGTCTGCAGTTCCCTTAGAACTGCACCCATGTGCACAGCAATCCTTTCCTGAGTATAATTTGGCTACAGGTTTCCTTTCTTTCTGCAATATTGGCTGCTTTCCATCTTTCAGAAAATTAATTTCCAATAATACTCTTCTAATTTCCAATAATACTCTTTTCTTTTCTGCTGAAATTTTTTTCTTTTCTTTTTTTTTTTTTGAGACAGAGTCTCACTATGTTGTCCTTGGTAGAGGCTGTAGTCCCAGATACTTGGGAGGCTGAGGCAAGGGAATGGCTTGAGCCCAAGAGTTTGAGGTTGCTGTGAGTTGTGATGTTACCGCACTCTACCAAGGGCAACATAGTGATACTCTGTCTCAAAAAAAAAAGATACACAGACACAGTTTTCTCATGAGTCTTAGTCTAGAAGTCTAGTCTTTAATCGAGCCTGGTTAAAGAAAGTCATATTTGGGGACTTTCCATCTGCGCAACTGCTATGGACGCTACAGTACAGGAGATAAAAATTGTCAACAGGGGTATGTATGTCCCTGAAATTTAAGATTCTTTATTTGAGCAGCAGATGAAGTCAGGACACTACTACGGTCGTAGGATATATCAAGACAGAGTAATCTAATTGTGGTGACAGAATAGAAAATTAGGTAATAAAAATGTAAATCATTTTTTGTTGATCAAAGATGGTAACATACCCCTAACACACATGGGTGGGCTGTTACCTGGACTTGTATGAGTATCAAGAAACCAGTCTGCATTATTTCCAGATCACTTACCTCTCAGCTGCTGGAGTTCCATATTCAGACTTTCAATGTTATTCTCACAGAACTTGAGATTCTCAAGGGTCTCTGCCCTTACTGATTCATCTTGCTTCTCCTCGAGCAGTAAGTTTAGCTCTTCTTGAGCCTGGTTGTACATATCCAAGTCCTTCTCCATCTCCTGAATCTTCACCAACACTAGGGGACAGGGGGAAGATTGGTCCAAACTCTTTTCCATGTGCCCAGGGCCCTCCTTTTCTAGGGCCTCACAGCTAGGACGATGACGGCTTAGGAGGTTGGGGGACACTGCATTCATCCTCTGCTGTGCCGAGGGAGGCAGTGGGGCTGGGCGAGAGGGTCGCACAGCCAAAGGTAGCACAGGTCTTACGTTCTGTTCCACCAGCAGATGGGGAGGAGATGCTGGAGTACAGGGACGGGGTGGCGGTGGCCTTAGGGCCTTTCTCCTCTCGGGTGGCTCCTGCTGGGTAATCAACCTTGAGGAACCCCGGACAATATCCTTCTCGGAGTTAAAGTCCATGATTGAAAAGTGGCGTAAAATTTTCTCTGGTTCTATGCCAGGCCCTGCCAAGCTCTTCTCAAATTCTATCAGTTGTTGTGTCAACTTAGAATCCAGGTCCAGGATGCCATCTCCCTGTGAAAGAGTTGTTGCCTCCATGGCGAGCCCCTTGCCCTGCAGAGCAGGCTTCCTCTCTGATCCCTCTGATGTGAAGTAAAAGGTAGACGTGTTCTCTTTGGGAGCGTGATGCTTTTTAGCGTACTTTGCTAGGCTCTGAAGCTGAGGGATCCATGGGCTGGGTTTCATCATCCTTGAGGCTGAAAGTAAGGAGCCCCTGTGAAGAGGGGTCGCTGGCCTCTGAAGAGTGTTCAGTTGGGAATACGTTCTTCTGGGAGGTAGGCTGCTGTAGTCTCTAGTCCTTGTTTCCAGAGGCAGAAAGTCATACTGTTCTGAATGTAGGTGGCCCCTTCCAACTGTAGAGGAAGACTGGCTTTTCTGCAATCTGGGATGAAAAGGAACGTAAGTTTGGGAGGAAACACCATTGACTACCTCCAAAGGGTCAGTCATAGCAGAGTCTTTGGCAAGAGGCGTTTCCTGCTCCATGCCCGGGCTTCTTGGGGGCCCACCTGAGATGCCTTCATCCTGATGAGAGTTTTTGTTTGCTTCGTTCTCAGAAGTCAGATGACCTAGGGGAGATGTGGATGTTTCTGAAATAACATAGGTGGACTCCTCTGTGTCATACTCACAAGATTCATGTCTCTGCTTCTCCACTACTAAGGAATCCTTCAAACAATCCAAAGATGTTTCGGGGATCTTGGCAAGGTTGCCTTCCTGAGGCAGGACCATATTTTCCTGCATCCTTGGGTCGGGACATAATTTCACAAACCGGTAAGGAAAGATGCCTATCCTGCCCTTCAGCGATCCTTCTAGCCAGCCATCTTCCAAGGTTGCCAGAATTCGGATTTTATCGCCTACCTCAAAATCCAGCTCATTTGGCTCCAGGGCTTGGAATCTGTAGAGGGCAATCCCATAGGTGCCCGGCTCCTCGTCATCCTCTGGCCCTCTCTCTTCTTCTTCTATGGGGATGTCTACTTCACCATTGACAAGGCCATCATCTTGATTTCCAGCACTTACTGACTCATCCACAGTCCTCAGGGGCCCCAAAAGCTCTACAAAACCCTCTGGAAAAATGCCTCTTCGGCCCTCTAACTCCCCTTCAAACCAGCCTGGTTCAGGAACTCCAACGATGGTAATCACATCCCCCTCCCTAAAGTCCAACTCCTCATCTAGCTGGGCAGAAAGCCCCATCAGGGCCCGGGCTTGTCCCATGGAATATTCAGGAATCTCAAGCAGGGCACTCTGGGAGTGCCACTGCTGGCTTTGTGAGGAGAGGCAGAGCTCGCGGACACATGAAGATGGAAAGAAGCCCCGTGCACCCCAGCAGCTTCGGCCCTGCAGCCAGCCTCCAGTGGGAGTGCCATCGAGAATCACTAGGTCACCTGAAGAAAGAATAACAAAGAGAGTGACCTCAGTCATCACCCAAGCACAGTATTATTATAACTAATAGTGTGTAACTTGTCATTTTAAACACCTACCAAATTCAAGGAAATATACACCTAGGCTTTTGAGAGCATGAACACGTGTGACAATTTAATACATTGGAACATTCCTATCGACCTGCGTTTTTCAAAGAATGACCCATAGGGAACCAAAGTGGTAGGCCCCTGAAATCCTTTCAGAGGATCAAAACAATTTTCACAATAACACTAAGACTTTATCTACATTTTTCACTGGGTTGACATTGCAATGATTGTATAAATGCAGTGACGGGTGAAACTGCTAGCAATGAATAAACCAAGGCAGTGCTAACAAACTATACAATGTGTCCTTTACCACCAGGTACTCCGGGTTTTAAAAAAACCATTTTCACTTTTTTTTTGAGACAGTCTCACTCAGTTGCCCTGGGGTTGAGTGCTGTGGTGCCACAGTTCACAGCAACCTCAAACTCTTGGGCTCAAGCAATCCTCTTACCTCAGCCTCCTGAGTAGCAGGAACTACAGGTGCCTACCACAACACCTGGCTATTTCTAGAGATGGGAGTCTCGCTCTTGCTCAGGCTGGTGTCAAACTCCCGAGCTCAAGCCATCCACCACCTCAGCCTCCTACAGTACTAGAATTACAGACTAGAATTACAGACATGAGCCACCACGCCCACCTCCCTCCCCCATTTTCAGTTAAAAACATCTCCTTCCTGGGTAGTGCCTGTGGTTCAGTGGGTAGGGCACTGGCCCCATATACTGAGGGTGGCGGGTTCAAGCCCAGCCCTGGCCAAACTGCAACAACAACAACAAAAAAAATAGCCGGGGCTCAGCACCTATGGTCCCAGCTACTTGGGAGGCTGAGGCAAGAGAATTGCCTAAGCCTAGGAGTTGGAGGTTGCTGTGAGCTGCAACGCCATGGCACTCTACTGGGGGTGACAAAGTGAGAATCTGTCTCAAACAAACAAACAAAAATCTCCTTCCTTGTTTTTTTTTTGTGACAGAGTCTCACTATGCCATACTTGATAGAGTGCCATAGCATCACAGCTCACAGCAACCTCAAACTCTTGGGGTTAAGTGATTCTCTTGCCTTAGCCTCCCAAGTAGCTGGGACTACAGGCATCCACCACAACACCTGGCTATTTTTTGGTTGTAGTTGTCATTGTTATTTGGCAGGCCCAGGCTGTGTTTGAACCCACCGAGTCCAGTGTATGTGGCTGTTGCCCTAGCCTCTGAGCGATAGGTCCCAAGCCTCTCTTCCCTTTTTTAGAGACAAAGTGTCACTCTGTCACCCTGGGTTGAGTGTCTTAGTGTCATCATAGCTTACAGAGACCTCAAACTCCTGGTTTGAGTGATCTTCCTGCCTCAGCCTTCCAAGCAGTTGGACTACATGTGCCTGCCACAATACCCAGCTCACTTTTCTATTTTCAGTAGAGATGAGGTCTTGCTCTTGCTCAGGCTGGTCTCAAACTTCTGAGCTCAAGCCATCCACCTGCCTCAGCCTCCCAGAGTGCCAGCATTATAGGTGGGAGCTATTGCACCCAACCAGTTTAAAACATTCTTTTTTTTTTTTTTTTGCCTTTCATTTAGACCTCTTGTTTTATTCAAATGCCAAAACGCAAGTTTCAAGATACAAATTGTAGTTAGACTAAGTTGTGTTTGATTTAAAAACATTGATTATGCTTTGTTAACAACTTCCAAAACCAAACATAAATTGTTGTGACTAAAATGTCTCCCAGTCCATTTCTGGAGGATTACCCTCAACATACTTAGAAGCTATTCTGATTGCCACTCTACAAAAAGGAAAATGATGCTATAAGAGAAAGATAATGAACAAAGTTACAATGTGAAAGGCTTCCTGAGAAGAACTTGAACCATTATTAGGGAGACCAAGAAGGATACCTGTTTCTGTGCCTTATCATAACAACTAGGCTTAAATACTCTATAATACACATACAAAGTGCATTTCCGGTCCTATCCCAGACATAAATAGGTTCCTTACATCCCTTTTTATACATCATAAAAAGCCCAACTTTTCAACAGGATTTAGAATTTGCTGATAGCTTTAACTTCTTTTCGTAAGAAAAAGCAGGTCAAAGGAAAACTCAAGAATCTATAAAACAAAAAAATACTTAAACATACTGATTTATAATAATTATAAATGAGACTGAACTGAATAATACAGAAATTTGTATCATTACAGAAGGAAAGGAAAAAAGCATAAAAGGTATCCAAACCCAAATCTTAGTAATTATGGAACCAAATATTCATTTTTAAGTCCCAAGTTTCCCCCCTTTTTTGTTTTGCTAAATAATGAAGATTAATAACTTATATGTTAGTGTGACACAGTCACTTTGGCAGATAGCAAACACAATTTTTCTTTAATGTTTCTATGAAGCCAAAGAATTAAACAACTGTTCAGCACCAAAAAATAAAACAAAAACTAGCTCAGTACTTTAGGTAAGTAAACAATATTAGGATAGTTTATTTAGGTCAGCACATGGCTATTGCTATGACTGATACTGCATGCTATTTATAGAATTAGATGCATCATCTTTTCCTGAAGATTTAAGCCAGATTTCAATTCCATCTATTCACTCATGGTACCAAAATGGATCAAAGATGGCAAATAAATCAGACAAGCCAGTAAGAGAATGGCCTTTTTTATAATACCATTTGGGAAGTTAGTGTTATGCATCAGCAAGTAAGACAAAGAACATAACTAAACAAATCATCAGAATATGTTTCTTTAGGGTATTTTTCTATGAAATTTTTAACAACTTCAAAACTACCTGGACCAATTTTTAAGATGAATAAATTCTGATATTTTCAGGAAACAAACTTAAGTAGAAAAAGGTAACACTAAAGAATGGTATCCCAACATTCACTTTTAAAGAATTTATTTTCCCATTTGTAGAGTAACATTATTGTAAAACCCACAGTTAATACCTGCATTGTTTAAAAGAATTCCTAAGAATTTTGTTAAAGCATATTTTTAAAAAACTGAACCAAAATAACGTACATTTCTGAACAATGTATCATTAAAGTCCACCTAATGTCCTCTGTATAAATCAATGTGATGTTATAATAATATACATGATCTAATTCTTATCCTAAAGGCTTCTCTGACCATGTATGATAGCCAAGACAGATCCAAATGCCTTTAATATCAGACTGCAGAGACAGTTATGATCCTAAACAAAAGAAGGAGGAAAAGCTTTATATACAGGACAGGAATCTGACAGTTTAGCTGTTTGCAGCATCTGCTTGGCGAGGCCATCCTTCTTCTTCAACCCCAGAGTCATACTCCTCTTCAGAGGATTCTTTTGTTGGAGCCCGAATGTATCCTGGTTCCTTTTTTCCTTCTACTACTTCTTTGTCAACCTCCACACAAACGATATCAGAATTAGGGACTTCAAACATTGGTTCTAGTAACAGCTTTTCCATTATAGACCGAAGGCCTCGTGCACCTGTTTTTCGTTCTAGTGCCAATCTGGCTATAGCTTTCAAAGCATCCTCAGTAACATTCAGCTCACACTTATCCATGCTGAATAAGGCCTGGTACTGAGGAATAACAGCATTACGTGGCTCAGTCAGTATTTGTACAAGTGTTTTCTCATCTAGACTATGCAAAGGAACTACCACAGGCAACCGTCCCACAAACTCAGGAATCATGCCAAATTCAATGAGATCTCTGGCTTCCACATGACGTAATAACCGATCTTTTTCTTCAATGTCTTGATGAGTATTTGATTCTCCACTTCGATTAGCAAGGTCTGCAGCAGCTGCAGCCCTTCTGCCTTTTCCCAGATTAGAAGGTGTTCCAAATCCAAGATACT